TATCCCTAACTTTCATTCCTCATCGTACCGTCCTTGCCTCTCTACCATCTTGAGCTCATCGTATCATATATCTCTGACCCCCTTCGCATCGTATCTCTGACCCCCGTATCGTCGCCGTCTACTTCTTTTTCTCCCCTGGGAAAGACTCTCCTCGCCTTTCCCCTTCCTTGACACAGGGCCGCTTTTCTCGGGTTCCGACTCTGCCCTCCCGGGGCACCAAACCAATCGCCACTACCCACACGGCATATATTTTCTTCTCAGTCGGAGTGTATCATCTTCGGCGGCCGCCCCCGCGACCTACACCAGTAGAAAACCCTCTCCCTAACAAAGCCGAGCAAGTAACAATGTACAAACTCAAGCCTCAGAAAGAGAGATGGGCGAGCTGTCCCAAGACACTTTAATTACGGGTGAACAATGGTTCCGATGCTTCCGGTACTTGGTGAGCCGATGTCCAGACCAAGTCTCAACGTTTCCATGCAGCTCGGTGTCTCCTGCGAAATTCTCCGTAGCCGCCGCTTCTTCGTCATTCACCGCCGCGGGCGGCCATCCGCGCAGAACGCAGTAATGAGCCCTGGAACCACGGAGGCTGACGGAAAGTCATACTGGACCCGGCACAGGCGCTGCGGCAGCGTCGCATTCCCCGAACCAACAAAAGGTGCTCTGCTGCTCCCCCATGTCACAAATCTGAAGGGTGCGCGCGGATAATCTCCACCGTACACTGTCACACGGTCTGTAGACGACAAGGCGCTGCCCAGTCCTCGTGTTTGCGGGGGGGGGGGGGGGGGGAGCCCGTGAGAATAGTAGAAATTATCCTTCCAGGTACTCCACTACGGAATGCCCATCCGTTACACCAAAGGTTTTCTTTTCCCTTTTTTTTTTTTTATGCGTGGGTTTGAGAAACGAGCGAAAACATCTTGAAAGGACCGGGGTTCAGTCCGTGTTTGCGGGGACGTCACACCGCGCACGCCGTCAGGAAACCATGCCTTGAATGTGCTGAAAGAACGCGTCACCATTCCGCCTCGCTCAAGCGTCATTATATCAGTCGGCGCTCCTAAATCACCTGACTTGGAAGGCGTCGTTGAAGGCAGTCAGCATCTGTTGGTCACCCGAAATATTTGCATCGCAAGAGGAATTGCAGAGCTGCGGGGAGGAAAAGCGAAGGTTATGCTCACGAATTCCAGCAATGAGTACAAACATGTGAACAAAGGAACAACGGTCGCATACATTGAAGAAATTGTCGAAGCCACCAGTGCTTTCTCCCTCGCCGATTCTGCGGAACCTGCTCAGAGGAACCAAGCCCCTCCCATAGCTTTCGATGTCAATCCCAGACTTCCGAACCATAAGCAAGAACAGCTCAAGGCCCTGCTCCTGCAATACAAAGGTTGCTTTTCGTCGTCATCGAAAATTCGACAGACCCCAATCACGAAACATCGCATCATAACCGAAGAAAATGCCAGACCACTCCGTCAGAGTCTGTACAGGGTTTGGACGCGAGAACGTGAGGCCATGAAAAGACAAGTTGATGAAATACTGCGGGATGACATTATCCAGCCGTCCAAGAGTCCATGGGCATCCCCCGTGGTGTTAGTGAAGAAAAAGGATGGGACCCTACGTTTCTGCGTCGATTATCGCCGCCTGAACAAAATCACAAGAAAGGACGTGTATCCCCTCCCACGAATAGACGACGCACTTGATCGGCTCCATAACGCCAAGTACTTTTCGTCAATGGACCTTAAGACTGGCTATTGGCAAATTGAAGTCGACGAAAGAGACCAAGAGAAGACGGCGTTCATAACACCGGACGGCCTCTTCGAGTTTAAGGTGATGCCCTTCGGCCTTTGCTCAGCGCCTGCAACGTTTCAACGCATTATGGATACAGTACTGGCAGGATTGAAGTGGCAGACTTGCCTTGTGTACTTGGACGACGTCGTCGTGTTTTCCTCGAGTTTCGACAAGCATCTTCGGCGCCTTGAAGCTGTACTTCAAGCCATCAAGACTTCCGGACTCACACTGAAGCCAGAAAAGTGCAGATTTGCGTATGAGGAGCTCTTGTTTCTGGGGCACGTTATCAGCAAGTCTGGAGTTCGTCCCGATCCACGGAAAACAGCCGCCATCGCCGACTTCCCGCCGCCCACTGACCAGAAAGCCGTGCGCCGATTTCTGGGCCTGTGTGCCTATTATAGGCGGTTCGTGAAAAACTTCGCCTGCATCGCCGATCCACTCACTAACCTTACCAAGGCCGACGTGGAGTTTAAGTGGGAAACGCCGCAGGAACACGCTTTCCAGGAGCTTAAACATCGCCTCCAGACGCCTCCGTTACTTCCCATTTCGACGAATTCGCCAAGACAGAAATACATACTGACGCAAGCAGCGTAGGTCTTGGCGCCGTTCTTGTGCAGAGGGCTGACGGACTTGAAAGGGTTATTAGTTACGCCAGCCGATCGCTATCCAAAGCAGAAGCAAATTATTCCACAACAGAAAAGGAGTGCCTCGCCATCATCTGGGCTACGTCGAAATTTCGCCCCTACCTCTACGGCAGGCCCTTCAAAGTTGTGAGCGACCACCACGCATTGTGTTGGCTAGCCACCTTGAAGGACCCCTCAAGTCGCCTCGCACGATGGAGCCTGAGACTTCAAGAATATGATATTACTGTCATTTACAAGTCCGGCAAGAAACACTCGGACGCCGACTGTCTCTCTCGTGCGCCTGTCAACCAACCACCACCCGACGACCCGGATGACGACTACTTCTTGGGAACGATAACTACCGACGACTTCGCTGAACGACAGTGGGCCGACCCGGAGCTTAGGGCCCTAATAGAATACCTCGAAGGTAGGACCGCCGAAGTCCCGAAGGTATTCAAGCGCGCACTTGCGTCGTTCTTCCTGCGAAACGGTCTTCTACAAAAGAAAAGCTTTTCACCGCTTTGAGCTAAGTACCTCCTTGTGGTGCCTTCAGCTTTGCGACCAGAACTCCTGCAGGCCCTGCACGACGATCCGACGGCAGGGCACCTCGGTGTTTCTCGCACGCTCCCGAGGATACAAGAAAGGTACTACTGGCCACGTTTTACCACCGACGTCACTCGTTATGTGAGGACATGCCGGGACTGTCAGCGACCGCCGACAAGGCCAGCGGGACTTCTGCAGCCAATTGAACCACCTTGCCGACCTTTCCAGCAGATTGGTATGGACCTACTGGGGCCGTTCCCGACGTCGGCTTTCGGAAACAAGTAGATCGTGGTAGCTACCGACTACCTCACCCGCTACGCCGAGACAAAAGCCCTTCCCAAAGGCAGTGCATCCAAGGTAGCTAAGTTCTTCGTCGAAAATATCTTCCTACGTCACGGCGCCCCGGAGGTCCTTATCACCGACAGAGGAACGGCATTTACTGCTGACTTAACTCAAGCTATCTTGGCATACAGCCAGACAAACCACCGCCGGACGACAGCGTACCACCCACAGACCGACGGCCTCACCGAGCAGCTTAACAAGACGATTGCCGACATGCTGGCAATGTACGTCGATGTCGAACACAAAACGTGGGACGCCATCCTTCCGTACATGACCTTCGCATACAACACGGCGGGGCAGGAGACGACGCAGATATCTCCATACAAATTGGTCTACGGAAGGAGCCCGGCAACGACGCTCGATGCCATGTTACCCAACGTCACCAACGAAGAAAACCTCGATGTGAGTGAGTACCTTCAACGTACCGAAGAAGCCCAACAACTCGCGCGTCTCCGCATCAAGAATCAACAGACAACCGATTTCGACAACGTTTCGTAAAATACCAGCCCGGTGAACGTGTTTGGGTGTGGACGCCGATATGCCGACGTGGACTAAGTGAAAAGCTTCTGCGACGGTACTTTGGACCGTACAGGGTGGTTCGACGTCTCGGCCCACTTGATTACGAGGTTGTCCGCGACGGCATCATGAACTCTCAACGACGCCGATCGCGACCTGAAGTCGTCCATGTCATGCGCCTCAAGCCGTTTCATGCGCGTTGACAAACTGAAACAGTGTTTTTTGTATTATTATTGTACCGTAATTTATTCATTGTAGTTTCTTGCATTATTGTTGTACCTTCATCTTTAGTTAAAGCATCGGGACGATGCCTTTTTCAGAGGGGGGCAATGCCACGTTCTATTTCCCAAGTTTTGTTATTGTCCCAAAACACCACATAATTATCAGCGCAAACCGCGCCTGCAGTTTTCGAGAAGCTTCCGGACTGTAGTAGATCATTTCGATAAGATCACGCCTACTCTGCGAACTGTACAGATTATTTTGGAACCTACGCCACCGCCTGCGATAACGCTAGAACATTCGACGGCAAGAGTATAAGTGCCGACGCGCTTCGCCGCTTGTCAGTTGTTGATCGACGGCCGACGCTCCGTTCACTGCTATCTGTGCAAGACTGCTACTGTAATCGAACTTTTCGTTTACCGGGCACAGGTTCGCCCAAATAAAAGTTAAATCCCAACATAAAGTCTCCTGTCTTCGGCTACGTCACGACCCCGTGACAATATATATAGAGGCAGTTCAAAAAATTTGACAGAACGAGATGACAAGGAGCACAAAGTGTTGTGATGCATGTCAATGCTTTATCATTTGAGTTTTTACATATCCTTTCCCGCAACACTTTGCTCAAACTTATTCACACTGCCTGTCATGATAACATTTACATACTCCTGCAAGTTTACCCACTATCTAGTTACACAGAATCAAAGGAACCTACACGCAGATTTATAGAGATTAACAAAAGTACTACTTGTGCTAAAAGCTAAACTGCACCTGCATTGTGCATTAACATAAAATTGGAGGCAACATGAATATATTTTGAAATACTTATGGAATCAGGTTTCAGTGCACTTGACAACATTTGTCAAAAAGAAAAAGTGCGAGGTCAAAACTATGGCACACAAGTGAACAAGACAATAATCAATTAAGCGCAGAAGGGTGGGCAGTCAGTCAGTCAGGGAGACCTTATGCCCCACTTACTATGCAGAAGAGAACGATGTTTTTCTTGAATTCGGCGACACTTTGCTGGAAGGGCTTGCTGTTCAAAGCACCCACGCCGACGAAAAGGGCGAAGGCAAGCGGAGGACAGATGGCGAATTCGCACAGCAGTTTGCGTCCCACCATTCGTAGAGTGTTTCCAGGAAACTTGCGGTCCAGAAACGAGTACCACTTGTGACCGCAAACACCGAACGTGCCACCGACAATCAGCATGTCCTCTGCAAAAGGAACGACGACTTTCGCTCAAGCTTGCTTCGCCTGACTTGCTGACGACTTATATCTCACATGCTCAGTAATGTTGCACACTGCTAGCGTGCTAGAGAAGCGCGATAACTGTATGCCGTATGCTCGTACCCACTGCAGTAATGAAGTCGTTACTCATTACCCACAACTTGTAGTGTTGCCTATGGCGTTGCGTGAATTTTTTTTTCCTTTCATTCAAACGTCGATGATACAACATTTGTAAAGTATTACGCGTTTTCTTCTTCACCTGTCTTTATTCATTTGCATATAATAAACGCTGTGTCTAAAGGTACGTCGGACGTACCCGAATACCAAAAGCTAAAGGTACGTCCGACGTACCCGAAACCGTGAGTCTAAAGATACTTCGGACGTACCAGAATACTAAAAGCTAAAGGTACGTCCGACGTGCGCTTTCTCGCAAGTTTTCACTCAAGCGACTCAAGTTCCACCTGCCCGTCCGTCGTTTTCAAGCAGTTCGCACGACTGACCTCTTAGACGCGCGGATCCGAGAAAAAAAAAGTTTTCGTCAACGAGTTTGTAGTTGGACGCGCAGACGTTGCACCGGTTACATCAGACGTTGCACGGGTTGCACTTTCTCGCCTACTCAAGCTTGGTTTATACACGGAAATGTTTATTCCTCCGTGGTTTACACGCAGCTATTATATCGCTTGATTAGGAAAAAAAAAAAGTTCGTTCACGCATCTTGAAGTCTAGTTTCGTGATCTTGAGCAACACCACCACTTCGAACCAATCAGCACCGGTGTTCCAAACCAAACGTCCTCACGTGCTTACTTTTGCTCCGGAAGCGGAAGTCTTTACCGTGGCACTTGCAAATAGTGGCGCGAATATTTAAACAAGTTAAAAGCCCCTAACCAAACATTGGGTACATTACGGCATTCGAAATAACTTAAATATGCAACTCAGACGATGTGCTCAGTAATATTTGTAAGTGCCTTGAGCTTAATTAACTTGTTTGATCACGCACATTCCTACATTAGCTATTTTTTCAACACAACGGTGTTTTACACCGTGGTCCAAAATTTCACTGACGTATTTCCATTACGGACATGGCATTAGTAAAATGCGTACTAACGTGTGACAGAAAAAGAAAACTCTAAAGAAGTTCCGTCATTGGCAATCGAACCTATAACCTTCGGACTATAACGGCAACTACTGGGCATTTTACACATTGCAACATCAATGTACATGTGCCACGCTCCACAAACGCGTCTTATATCTACCCCAATCCCACTTGATCAGTGCTCTTTGTTTGGAAGGCAGTGTTGCATTCTGTCAGTGGTAAAGTAAACAGATGCATCATAGCACTAACTAATGCCAAAAGAGAGTAATTTGGCAACGATACTGGCAAGGCGTAGCGACATAAGAGAGGAACACTGGCCATGCAAGCATCTAGCAGCTCCCCTAGACACAATACCTTCTTTGCATTTTGCTTGGTGACTGCTCATAGTTGAAATAGTCCGGCTTTCACATTTCCCAAAAGTTTCTTCACCACCCACTCGTTCAAGTGGGATGTCACTGACTAAATAAAACTGCTGCAGTAAGCACTACAGAAAGGCAATGATGTAAATTGGCGAAGTGTTGCGTCTTGGTGGAGAAACTGAGGCCAGAGGTACATAGGATGGCTTCGCAGTTTTACAGCTTAAAAACTTATACCTCTTGTGTGGCTGCAGTGCACTGCGGTAGCGTATCCATGAGCACAGGCGTAAGCTTATCTATTACTTAGAAGTGCACACATGCCGTTTCCTTTCTCAATTGACGACACTTTCAAGGAGTGCATTATAGAGTACCAGTGTTTATTATTTGCTTTTTGGTGACATATTTGTGCCGGATCCACAACATGATGTGTCCAGAACTTCAGCTATCACAATAGTTAAATCATGATCATGGGCGTTAGTCATTGGGATGGGGATGTATAGCTATAAGTGTCAACGTGGATGCACCCACATGAAACGGTACTGTAGCTGCCAAACACCAATAGATGGTGTACAAACTCTCATATATCAATGCACAATAAAGAATCAACTACTTCTATGAAGACACATTTACTTTCAGGTTATACCGATTCCTATAATGGAGAAACCATCCACAATTGTTTTCTTCCGAAATTGGATTAAGTCCACCCTCTCATGTAATATTCATGGGCCACTGAGTGCAAATATATTTAATGAAAATGAAACATGTGATTTTGAGTGGAAGTGTTTATTTTCCTAAAGACCATAATAAATGGTTTTAAGAAAAAGTGATTTATTAAATGAGTATCCCTTTTCTTGGTTGCCAAATAACCTCTATTCCTTTTCGCATATATACGTGTAAATGCCTTGGGATTACATCATTAAAACATTCAAAAGAATGTTAACAAAAGTCGGCACAGTTCAAACATGGTTGGATGCAAGACTGAATGTCAGTGAAAGGTATGTTTATGCTCCCACATGAGAACAGCGAATGCTAATAATAAAATGTGCAACAACTTCATGGAGTTATAATGTAGCGAAGTGGCGTAACATGGGACAAAGATGGAGATGAGTGAACACGTACAGGCACAGGTTGAAGTCGTGCGCCTGTACTTACTCCCACATCTCTCTCTTTGTTCAGAGTTGTGCCACCTTCTTGTATTATTACTATGAACCAACTAGCCCAGCAACAAGTTTTATTAAACATCATGGAGCCAAATGAAAAGCTGGCACAATGAGTATGCATTATCCCTCATCACTAAAACCCATCCAGTCAGACAGGGCTCGCGGTCAGGGCATGTCAAGGAAATGATTGGGAACCTTTGCTCCACCATCTTGTTTCATTTGCTGAAAATGAAAGAAAAAGAAAAAAGAAATCAGTGCGATGTGATAACCAGATGTACATTTAAGTGCACATCAGTATGTTGAATCTAATCTGTGAAGAGGGAATCTCTTAGTTTTCAGGATGTTTTACCATTGCTCAGCTAAATGTCTAATCATGTACTTGTAAGGGGCCCTGTAACACTTTTCTAAGTAGCCACCAAATACGTTCACGTTCGACTGCTTAGGAACCATCACCCAAGTGATAAGCCAAGAGGGGGGCACATTGCAAATGCCAATTTCTTCGACCCCAACTTTGAAGTTTCACGTGCACCACAGCACACGTGGCCTAATATCACACACAACACTCATTTGCCTGCTCTCCCATCAGGGGTATTTTGCAAAGATTTCCTTCTTAATGAAGGCTCAATTCAGCACTGAATGAGATCAATAAATCTGTGGTTTGCAGAACAACATTCCCAGCAAAATGAATAACCCGTTTATATTGCTCTTACTTTGTCGTTCACATCAGGAACATACTAAAAATTTCGAGCAAGTGCCCCCCTCTTCGGTAAAGAAAAATCTGACAAGAATTGGAGGGTGGGCCCTTGTTCATTTGCGAGTCAAAATTTATGATGGCAGAGGAAGAGCCACAAAGAACAAATATGAATAGCCATACTTCTAAATAAATGCTTCATTGAATACGCACGCACTCAAAGTTTTTATTTGTCCTCGTGTAAATGAAAACAGTGAGTGAAACAGCGAAAACGGCGGGAAGGTAAGAGGGCACATTTCAAATCTCCCAAAAAATGAAGGGGGTTGCTTGCTCACAATTTTTGGGTAAAACTGTCAAGAATACAGCCAAAGCTCAATATGATGAAGTCTACTCCACATATGAATGCTTTCATCTAATTGCATGAATTCTTATTTGCACAAAATATTTGCTATGTCCCTGAAGTTTTCTTAGTTGCCCCGCGGTGGTCTAGTGGCTGAGGTACTCGGCTGCTAACCAGCAGGTCGCGGGATCGAATCCTGGATGTGGCATCTGCATTTTCGATGGAAGCGAAAATGCTGTAGGTGCTCAGATTTGGGTGCACGTCAATTACCCCAAGTGGTCGAAATTTCTGGAGCCCTCCACTACGGCCTCCCTCATAATCATATGGTGGTTTTGGGATGTTGAACCCTAGACATCAATCAATTTTTTTAGTTACACGTTTATTATTTTGAATCATTAAAGTGTTTAATTCACAAAATGCACAGTTGTTACATTCAAGTTGACTATAATTTCTGGCACTAGAATGTAAGCGAAATGGAAAAGAAATGATCGAGTGGTGAGAGGTGACATGTGAGCATCTAGCCATGTTGCCTTTGTTTGTTCATTCCATTTCTTTTTTAGCGCTGTAAGTTTTCCTGTGCAATCAACTACAAACTCACTCAAAGTTGAAGTGTTTTATGCATATTTAATGTTTGCATACCTAGGCGGTGAGCAGCATGTATATTAGCCACTGGTGAAGGGTTGCTTGGCTTGGAAGGTGACCAGCTGTAGTGTTCACCTAGCAGAAGAATAAATGCAGATGCAGTTAGTAAGGCATCTGTAAATGACGACATTCACAGGGAGCTGGAACACAAAGTACTGAGTCGTGCTTAGCCAACACAACCTATGGAACGATTAATATGCGAATTACTTGTCTTTCAACAACTAATTACTACTGATCGACTGTTGCATAAAAACTAGTGCTACAAGTTTCACCTCTACAACAATACGGCAATTGCTCGTCAATTCAAGCCTCGCTTCACACAAGCTGAAATTGACTCTTCTTCATTTGACCTTAATAGAAGCGATAACCAGATTAAAAAGTATCAAAAATGTGTACTTTGGTTCCATTCACTACGATGAACCTCCAAACCTAGCCAACACTTAGTTTTTACAGCTTCAAGGTCATCACCATCATCACCAAGTTTTAGTGCCCTGTAGAATAAAAGTGATCAGTGATCTTCATTTCATTCTATCCAGTGCGAGCTAATTTTTTTTATCCCTGTGAAGTTCTTATTTTGTCATTCCCTCTAACTCTCTGTCAATTTTGACTGCATTTTCCATCCTTTCATAACCATTATGTTGCACTCACTCTCCACCAGCTGTCTGTTCCTATGCATTACATAGCCAGCCCAGGTCCTTTTTTTTATGCTCGATTTCAACTCGAATATCTCCAATCTCTGTTTGTTCTTGGCTGCCATCTTCCAGTGTATTAAGGCTATTCCTATGATT